GGGGAAGGGCAGAGAGAGGGAGACACAGAATCGGAAGCAAGCTCCAGGCTCCGAGCTGTCAGCGCAGAGCCTGACGTGGAGCTCGAACTCATGAACCATGAGATTGTGACCTGAGCTGAAGTCAGACGCTTAACCAACTGAGCCACCCAGGTGCCCCGAGAGTTGTAATCACACAGCTACGAGCCATGTGATGTCAAAGATTGCCAGCAACCAGGAGAACGTGTAAAAGGCAACGAAGGATTCCTCTCCTAGAGCTTTCAGAGAGAGCATGATCCTGCCAATACCTTGATTTTTTCCTTCTAGCCTCCAGAACTATGAGGTAAGTAATTTGTTATGCCAGCCCTAGCAAACGAATTGACTGTCTCCCTTTCTGGTTTCTCGTGGCCTTGTTCTAATGAACCTTTGCTATAATGTACCATAAAGCCCTGACATCCAGAAGTGCTCTGTGTCCTAAACTTCTGTCCCTCCTTAAAATTTAGCTCATCGCTGGGGTGCCTGGGTGACTCCATCAGTTGAACATCCAGCCTTTGATTTTGGCTCAGGTCATGATCTCAGGGTCGTGGCATCAAGCCCCTCATTGGGCTCCGTGCTGAGTGTGAGCCTGCTCAAGATCCTCTCTCTCTCTCTCTCTCTCTCTCTCTCCATCTGCCCCTCTCCTCCCTCCTCTCTTTCTAAAATTAAAGAAAAAAAATTAGCTCATTATAAATGCTGTGTGGGAAATGGAAGGGTGAGCCAAACTAGGACCGAAACGTCAGACACAGGCCAGATGAGAGTCTAAGTGTGAAAAAGGAGTCAGAGGGGGAGATGTGAATGTGACATGGATATGAAACCAGGGGCATCAATCCGAGGCACGGATGAACCTGCAGAAGAAAGATGAGGTGGGACGTGCCCACCCTGGCCAAAGACAAGTCCAAGATCTAAGCTGTCTACGGAGGCAGGACCATCCGCAAATCAAAACCCCAGAGGCCTGGGACTAGTCCTCGCTGCCTACTCCAATGACTCCGCTTACACTGGAGGAGTCCTTCAGTTTCCAAAGGTTTTCCTTCGGTTTCCTGCTTTATATGTCACCTCTTAGTTGGTCTTCAAAACCAGTCTGCATGGGCTGAGTAGAACAATAATAGAATTCCATTCGACTCACAGGCAAACAAAATGTCAGAGATGCAAGTAACCTGCTCGGTGTCACATAACTGATTATCAGTGTGTGTGGAGGGGAGGAAAATGAAATTTAGAGTCTCGTAGGCTTGGTTAGAAGCTATCTGATTTCGGGGCGCCTGGGTGACTCAGTCGGTTAGGCATCCAACTCTTGATTTCAGTGCAGGTCATGATCTCATGGTCCGTGAGTTCGAGCCCCATGCCAGGCTCTGTGCTGACAGTGCGGAGTCTGCTTGGGATTCTCTCCCTCTCTCTCAGTCCCCACACCCTCTCCACACACACACTTCAAAATAAATAAATAACTTTAAAAGAAGAAGAAGAAGAAAAGAAGATATTTGGTTTCTATGAGGTTCTACTGTTTGTTTGGTATCACTTCACCTGCCATTTGTAGATCGCCTCTTACAGCGTTGGCTTATTGACTGATGCTCACTCAGTAAATGACCATTTCCTTCCTCCTCCCTTTCTTGCTTCTCCAGCTCCAAGTGTGGTGCTCATTACACGACCAGTGTTGCCTTTCTCTGACTAAAGTGCTCTTGGCTACTCACAGTTCACCTCTCTAGAAGTCAGTTTCTTCACCCGCTTTATCAAAGGATTGGACTAAATCATTCGCAAGGTCTCTTCCAGCCCTGATAGTCTGTGGCCTGAACACTGCCTTCCTGCCGCAGGTCCCAACGGACCCACCCTGCGAAGCCCACACCTGTTGGACCTGCCATCGCCATCAGGTGGCGCCCGGCACCCTTACGCCTTGGGTGGAGGAACGTCTGAAGCTGCGATGCTTGACCTCAGCCAGCACAGAGCTTTAGGAGAGCTAGCCCTAGAGAGGAGAGAAAGTAAACCTTTCTCCATTTACTTTATAGATGAAGAAACGGAGGAAAGCGTTTTGCTTTTCCTTCGTACCATAATAGGACGAGCTAGGAAAGATTAGATGGCCTCCTGGAGTTCCTGCTAATTTAACTGAGTTGCCTCAACCCATTGTCCCATAGTGGACCACATCCAGGGCTTTTTTGCACAGCGTCGAGGAGGGCATTAGCTGTGCTCCCCATTGCAGGTTCCCGCTCCTCTGGAGAGACATGCAAACACGAATATATGCACGCAGCCAGGAAGCATGAGAGGGAGCCCAGATGATTGGGTTTTAGGATCAAAACACAAAGGAGCGTGATTTCCATGGCCTTCACCTATGCCCCCAGAATGAAAGGAGCAAGGCTGCTCCCAGTTTGTAAGAGCTTGAGGAATGGAGCTGGTGGGGATTGATGGCCCCGTGACTGCCTGTGACAACCACAGCCGGCGCTGACCACTGTTCCCCGGAAGAATCTACCACTGGGAGCGTCCCAGGAAAGCCTGCTCTCCGCCTCCTCCTTACCCTGATTCTGCCTGCTCCTTCGAGGCTCCACCTGAAGCAGAAGGTCAAGGCACCTCTGGACTAGCCAGTCACTCCTCATCCGCTCTCTGCCAAGTTCCGCCCCCTTCGCGCTGTCATCTCTGTGCATGCCCAGCTCCTGCTAACAGGTTCTAGGAAGGCCAGGGGTCCACAGGCTCGCTCAGTCTCATCGGTCTGTAAGTCTTCACCTCTCTAGCTTCAGAGGATGGTTGTTTGCTCAGGCCCCGTTAGCAAAAGCAGCCTGCTCAGCATCCAGGATGTAAATCTCCCCCAGCCTGACACCTGGCCACAAGTTGCCAGAGAGACGACCAGAATGGCTGACTCTCCATCTGTCAGATGCACTGGTGACAGTTTGCAGATGGAGTCCACAACCCAGTGCAAGTCTAAACACTCTAAAGGAGCCTGACAGCTGGCACATGGGTGTGTGTCGAGCAAGACTCACGCAGTATGAGCTCTTGGAAAACGTTCAAGGACATTTCTCCAAGCCAGAGCCCCACTCTCTGCCCCCCTCCCAAAAATCATCCTTCTTCCCTGCCCGGGAATGACTGGACAGCTTTCCTCAGTGATGTTGCAAAAATATCCAGAGATGGAGAGAGGAGGCCCTCTTACTTATCCCAGGCCAAAGCAAGACTTCTTTCTCCACTAAGCATTCAAAAGTTGAGTTCTTGCCAAGAAACCTCCCACACACCTCGGACCCCAGAGATCTCACACTGCTCTGGATTCAAAAGGAGAAAGTCATCTTTGGTATGCAAACATCCTGAGAAATAAAACATGGGCTCCTGGAGGAAAGGGAGCCGCATAGCCCAGGTCAAATTCACAGGGAACACCCATATGTGGAAATCCACTGGGCTTATCCTCAGGACAGATCAAAATTTCATAACTCCAGAGCCCCCAAACCCACCTAGTGGACCGCACACCGCTGTCGCACAGCACATTAAATATTTGATGATTTCCTGGTCATCCTGTACCTCAGCCTGGGCAATGGTCTCTGCTTACAGAGTTTAAGTAAGAACTCGCAAAATGATTCAGTGGTTGCCACAGAAATTTCCTTTCCATAGGAAACTGCTGATAAGGTTCATAAGAATTGGAATAAGGAAACAACTTTATCAACTGGCTCAAACTTGGGACTCCAGTTTTACTTCAAGAGGATAACATTGATTTCTGCAGCCCAGGAAAGGTAGAGGTTATGGAAAGGAAGCATCAGAATACATTTGTAACCAAAGACATTTGCCCAACACAGACAACACTCTGGGCCTCCAGACACACATACACGTACAACACTAGACAAAACTGGTTCCCAAGGGCAGTGGGATCTTAGGAATTCACTGCTGGCTTATAGCATGGGAGCTGACATATGCCCATAGGCCCTGATCCTGAGCACAGCAAACTCTGTCCTCCTATGAGCACTACACTCAAGTCTTTGGGTAGCATGGCTTTGCTACCCACTTGCAACTGGGTTCCATGAATTTTGGAAAGGTGGAGATACAGGAGTGTCAAAGGCTTAAACTCACTCCCCTTTACCCAAACAGACTTCTCATTTTTTGTTTCATGAGGATTAGGAAGAAAGGGGCAAGGACTAGTCCTAATTTACCGCATCTGTCAAAAGCCAGGTCTAAGAAGGGTGTAAGTGGATTATGGGGGTGGTGCGGGATGGAGAAAAGAAGGCAATGGAGGAATCGCATTCAGTAATATTTATTCATTTGATGCTAAAAGGAAAAGAAGGGATCTGTTCTAATGGTTCGGCCTCCTATGAATCCCGGAGCCACTCCCCCACCCCCCTCCAAAAAAAAACCCTGAAGAAATCCTTCTGGCACTGCTGTGAGGTAGATCAGAGCTGTCCTGTGTCCAAAGTGGGGGAGGCCGGTGCTTAGAGATCCGTAGCGATGTGTCAGGGACAAAGCCCCAAAGCTGCACCTTTGCTAGCTTCCTGCTCCCAGCCTAGGCCACAGAGCAAGCAGCAAGCGATCGTGGGGAGCACTGAGTGGTCCGTCAGGTCTAGGCAGCAGGAGGGATGGAAGGAGGAGGGCTGTCTCTGCCCTAAGCACACAGCACAGAAGTGAGCAAGGTGACAGGTGTCCCACCAAAGCTAGTCCGGCTGCTCCAGGCTGCTGGATACTTCAGCTGCTGAGGTAGTGGTGAAGCTCAGGGCTTAGAAAAGTTCTCTCAGAAAGAGAGAGGCAGAGAGGATAGTGAAAACCCACCTGCTGAAGATTTTCCCTCCCCAGTCGGCCCCCCTCCCCACCCCAAGGCCAAGTCACCAGTTTCTGGAGGTCAGAGATTTCCAGCTGGGAAACTCCACAGGGCTCATTCTAAACAGAGGCCAGAGGCTTTCCAAAAGTTCTGGATGAACAGAGTTGTTTCTTGTCGTTCAGGACCTAAGAAATTCCCCCAGGAAGCCCTGAAAAATGGAGATAATATATCTTGGGGTGAGGGGCACAGGGTGGGAACAGAAGTCCTAAAGAGCAGGGGTGAAAGTCAGGGACCCTGGGAAGAATATGTATGTAATCACACAAAAGCATCCGGGCTCCACCCAGCCACAAAATACCCACCCCCAACTCCAGCCCTGTTCCTGCCAGGGAGAAGAACTGGGGCTCCCAGGTTCCCCTACTCCTGTTTACCCTTCATAGCCGAAGCAGAGTCTCACCTCCACAGCTATCAAACCTTTCAAAGAAACCACAGCTGAGGCTAAGGGCCGGGGCGGGGGCGGGGGGGGGGGGGGGGTGCTCTATGCTTCTCCGCAAGTCAAAGCCAGCCAAGTGGTGGCAAGAAATATGGGAGGCCAAAGAACTGGGCTAGAAAATCTAGAGCTGACCAGGCAGGCCCACGGTAAAGCCGCACTCCCTGGCCACACTTCCCGCACTGGGTCCTGGGGTGAAGAACAATCCTCCGCCTTTCTTTGCTTCAACCCTGGGGCAGGTGGGTGGGATGCCGGAGGAAAAAAGTGTCCTGGGTTCCCTTTTGGTTCCGTCCTCCTTGTCCCCCTTCTTTCGCTGCAGAGACCTCCCCAACCCCACCTTCTCCTCCCGAACCCCAAACTCTGAGAAATGGCCACATGAGACACCGAATGCTTCCAGATCCTGAGCCGCCAACCCCTTCGCTTCGGTTACCTACCCGACTCTGCGGGCCTGCTCAGCGCCGCAGGGGCATCCGAGGTTTCTCCAGCCCCGGAGGCTGCTGCGTGGCGCTCCTCCCGCCGGCAGCGGCACAGCAAGCGGCGAAAGGCGCTGCGAAAGTCGGGGCTGCGGCAGTAGATGAGCGGGTTAAAGGCGGAGTTGGCATAGCCTAGCCAGTTAAGGGCCAGGAAAGCCGGGCTGGGAACCAGAGAGGGGCCCCCGAGGGCTCGCACCACGTTGGCCACAAAGAAGGGCAACCAGCAGAGAGAGAAGGTCCCCATGATGAGACCCAAGGTGCGCAGGGCCCGGTGTTCCCGGAGAGGCAGAAGGCGCGCGGGCCGCCGCCCGTAGGAGGGCACCCCTGCGGGAGAAGCGCACGGCCCCGCCGGGGCGGGGGACAGAGAGCGAGACGCGGCCGGCGGAGACTCCCCTGGCGGGAAGCGGCCCAGCTCTCCGCGCAGCAGGCGCAGCTGGCGCGTAGCCACGACGAAAACGCGCGCGTAGACGAAGAGCATCACAAGGAGCGGAAGGTAGAAGGAGACGGAGGAGGAGAGCAGCGCGTAGGGTATGTTGGAGGCGAAGGCGCAGCAGTGCGGATTGGAGTGGCAGCGCTGCGCCTCGGCGTCGGCTCCCACGCGCCACCATTTGCTCATGATGGGCGCAAACGACACCGCCGCTGACACGACCCACACCAGTACCACGGCTGCCCGGGCGCGCCGTTTGGTGACCAGGGCGCCGTAGCGCAGCGGGTTAGTCACTGCCAGGTAGCGGTCCACGGCCAGGGCGCACAGGGTTTCAATGCTGGCCGTCACACACAGCACGTCCACTGAGGTCCACAGCTCGCAACCAGTGGCGCCCAGGGGCCAGTGGCCGGTCAGCGCCAGGGTGGCCCCCGGCGGCACTACCAGGAGTCCCACCACCAGGTCTGCTGTGGCCAGCGAGGTCACGAACACGTTGGTCATGGTCTGGAGTCTCGGCGTCCGAGCGATGGCCACGATGACCAGCAGGTTGCCTCCCACGGTGGCCAGCACGGCCAGCGCCAACAGCGCCCCCGCCAATGCCACCGCCCACGGCACCCCCGGCAGCCCACTCGTGTTGGCAGTATTGGGCGTCAGGGTGGGGGCATCCGGCCACGAAGCCAGAGAGCCGTTCCCGTGAGGCCACGGAGCCATTCCCGCCGCGTGCGTGGGGCGGGAGGGAAAGAGAGAAGGGGTCTCCCAGCTCACCCGGCTCGGGGGCGGGGACAGCGGGGCGTGGGAGCGATTTCCCGGGCCTGGGCCATTTTCCCTAGTTGACCGGGGCGAGAAAGCTCAACCTACCCCCCCCCCCCCCCACTACCCGCCCCGGTGCCACTGCTTGGGGTGGGGAGGAGTGGAGGCCCTTAAAGGGGCAGCGGCCAACAGTCTCTATGCTGGGCGCCAGGAAGGGAATTGGAGGGAGGGGAGGGAAATGAGATGGATGTCTGAGTTTTCCTGTAACCTTATCTGGAGTGCCGACACCCGGACTTCTCTGCCACCATGTGCCCACTCCTGCGGTGACCACCGCAGGCACTCAGCGCAACACTCCGTCGGCACTGATTGCCTGGAACGCCGCACCAATTTACCAATTTCCCTGGAAGGTCCTGCAGCGACGCTAGCAGAAAGGTCATGAAGACATCACCACCACCGCCTTACCTTGTCAGAGGAAAAGGGAACCCTCCCAGGGCCAGCAAAATGATCCCCACTAGCACCGCACCTACTTGAGGGTCCTTCTTTAAAATATTGTAAGTCAAAGTATCTTCTCTCTTTTCCCGAGACTTCGCGCCAATGAGACTTGGCCCCTTTCCCTTCTATTTCATTTACCTGCCCTGCCCCTCCAGTTCTCCCTTGTCTTGTTGCTGTTCTTTTCAGTTAGCAGGGAAATTTGATGTTTTCCTGGAGTCTTTATACTTGCCTGCTCATTTGAATTTTGATTAGGCTTCACATAGCCTAAGATGCTGAAAGTTTCCATTTCTCCATCTTCCCCATTGCCCCTTGCCCCTTCCACACACCTTTCCACCTAGAGACTTTCTAGATGGGTCCCTGCTTTTAAAATTTCTTTAAAATTGGGGGCACCCAGGTGGCTCAGTCGGGTAAGCATGGGACTTGGGCTCAGGTCACGATCTCAAGGTTGGTGAGTTTGAGCCCTGCCTTGGGCTCTGTGCAGACAGCTCAGAGCCTGGAGCCCTGCTTTGGATTCTATGTCTCCCTCTCTCTCTGGCCCTCCCCTGCTCTCTCTCTCTCTCTCTCTCTCTCAAAAATAAACATTAAAAAAATAAATTAAAAATTACCTTTATTTTTTTATGTTTATTTATTTATTTGGGGAGAGCGAGTGAATCCCAAGCCCGCTCCGTACTGTCAGGCACCCCGACATAACACCTTTATTAAATCCTATCACAACCTGATCCTGGAGATGTCTTGCTTCCACCCGGGGTAACAACGGGACAAAAGGGGAAAAAATGATCATGGAAAATGCCTCCGGGGCCATACCCTCACATGTCTCTTTTGAACAGCTCTATATTTCAAAAGAACGCTGTATGGTCTAAGCAATCCCTCTGGGAGGCTGAGCCCGGGGTTGGGAGTAAGAAAGACTGGAGGGGACGTGAGGGCCTAAAATTATCCTTGAGGAGAAAGAACCAGTTTTGTCTCCCAGGGACCCAGCAGCTCACCCACAAGCAGGGTTTGTCAGTGGCTCCCAAGCAAATGCCTTCCACGCCCATGCAGTACCCCAAGCCGACCTTTGGATCCAAGGAAATGCCCACTAGGTGGAGGTGGAAAGCCTATTCTCTGCCCTCAACCCCCAGTCCTGCCCAAGTGGGGCAGGCCCCACTTGGCCGTGAGTCTTGGCTGTGCCCTCTTGCTGATCATCAGGATGCCACTTCCCAGTTGGGTTTTGCAACACCCCAGAGTGTTGCCAGTTATCTCAAAGGGGTGTCATAAGATTCTCAAAGAGTAATCTCTAAAACAAATACATATCATTCAGCAATTTTTTTCCAGGACATCAGTTGGGGGCCAGGGTGGGGGAAGGGGGCTAGGAAGTCAAGCAACTTCAAAAGCTGTCATTGCTTTAGGGGGTGACTTCATTATTCCGAACAAGTGCGTAATAATGTTTACATTTTCCAAAAAGACAAGCTTTCCGAAGCCACGCGAGTGTGCTTGAGTTTGGGGACTGATTAGGGCAATAACCAAAGGAGAGTGTGAGCAGAGAGATTCCAGGCCCTGTTAGTGAAGGCTTTTATGAGTAAGCAGGGCACTGCCGAAGCACCTGGCATGCTTCCCTCTACTCTGGCCCTTCCTGCTCTCATTCCTAGTCTGGCCTCCCCCTGCCCAAGAGGCCGACAGCCAGAAGGGCTCCTTCTTTTGCCACTTTGGTCTGTGGGCTTATTCTGTTTTTCTTGCCTTTGTGCTTTTCAACTTAATCTTTTTTGTGTTTATTTGTTTTTGAGAAGAGAGAGGGAGGGAGGGCAAGGGACAGAGAGAGACGGAGACAGAGGATCCAAAGCAGGCTCCACGATGACAGCAGAGAGCCCCTCGCGGGGCTCAGACTCTGGATCCACGAGTTCATGACCTGAGCCAAAGTCAGAGCTTAACCGACTGAGCCACTCAGGTGCCCCGGGTATGCATTCAACTTTATTCAACCATCAAAATATTCAAAATTCATGTAATAGAAAGTTCCCTTTATCCTGGTTTTCAGCACCCTCACAAGTACCCACCATTAGTCTCTTTTTATCCATCTAGTGATATGTTATATGTAAACAAATCAATACAAGTACATGTGCTTTTGTCCTTTCTTTTCTACACAAATGGTAGTAGAATATCCCCACTATTCAGCACCCTGCTTTTTTTTTTTAAGTTTTATTTATTTATTTACAGAGAGACAGAGACAGCATGAGCAGGGGAGGGGCAGAGAGAGAGAGAATCCCAGACTGGCTCTGCACGATCAGCGCAGAGCCTGATGTGGGGCTCGAACCCATGAAACCATGAGATCGTGACCTGAGCTGAAACCGAGAGTCTGATGCTTAACCGACTGAGCCACCCAGGTGCCCTGCACCTTGCTTATTTTAACTTAACAATGTATATCTGTAATCCTTCCATACCAATACATAATAGCTTCCCATTTTTAATATTCCATAATATAGCTATACCGTAATCTATGAAAACAATTGGCTACTGATGGACATCTAATTTACTTCCAATCTTTACTAAAAGATGATAGTGCAGTGAATAACTTGAAACATGTCATTTCACATATGTGTAAGTATATTTATAGAATAAATTCCTGCAGGGGTGCCTGGGTGGCTCAGTTGGTTAAGCATCCAACTTTGGCTCAGGTCGTGATCTCGCGGTTCACGAGTTCGAGCCCTGCGACAGGCTCTGTGCTGACAGCTCAGAGCCTGGCCTGCTTCAGATTCTCTCTCTCTCTCTCTCTCTGCCCCTCCCCTGCTCGCACTCTGTCTCTCTCTTAAAAGTTAATTAATTAATTAAGAAAAGAATAAATTCCTGCAGATAGAATTCCTGTATCATAATTTATAAATTTACATTTGCAATTTAGAATTTACTGCCAAATTACCCTCCCCAGGCAATGTGCCCATGTATATACTCTTGCCATCATTTTTTTTTCTTGCCATCATTTTTGCCAGCCAGCTGGAGGTTGGAGGCAAGTGACCTGCTCCTCCGGGAAGTCGTCCTAATGACTGGCCCCAGGAGAATTAGTGCTGCCTGGTCTGTAAAGGTCATCCAAGTCTGGGCAGAAGCATACATTGCCCAGGGAGAGCCCTGGGCCCCCAAATGACCTTTGTTCTGTGCCCTTGGAAGCAGACAGTGAATGTGGGCTTCTTAATCTGCTGAATTCAGGCCCCCCCACCCCGGGCTGCTGTTTATGTGTTGGGGGCTCCAAGGGTGCAAGTTATCCTGTTGTGTAAGAGGGCAGTTGTGTGATGGTCTGTGATTTAGAATATGCGGTCAGTAGAACCGGAAGAGGCAGAGACTGCCTGGTGGGTAAAGGTTCTAATAGTGGGAGAGGGAGTCTGTCCCTCCCTTGCTCTAGTAGCTTGTGGTCGGTCTTATGTGCATCACAACTCTGTGTGTGTGTGTGTGTGTGTGTGTGTGTGTGTGTGTGTGAGAGAGAGAGAGAGAGAGAGAGAGAGAGAGAGAGAGAAGAAAGAAGCCTAGGGGAGTTTAGGTGACTGAGAGCCTCATACCTCATCCAATGTGTTAGAGGTGTTATAGGCTATGATTTAGAATCTCTCCATCTTGCTTTAAAGTTCTTGGAAGGGACCACAAACTAGGCAGAAGTTTCTTCCCTCTCTTTACCCTGCCTATCTTCTCCAATTAGTCCAGGGGGATAAGATGGTGGTGACATAGAATCGGAGCTAAGGGGTCTTAAAGGTCAAATCTGACACCAACATTTTACAGAATTAAAAGGCCGAGGCCCAGAGGGGAAACTGAGTCTTGGCCACGATCATACAGTAAAGGTTCATTCTTGTCAGAGGCACAGGCATCCAAGGAGCCGGATCGTTTTCCAGAGCACCTCCCCTCACTCCCACCAGGCCCCAGAACGGACCACTGCCCTGCCTCTGGAACTGAAAAGAAGTCCCCAACCTAAGACTTTCCTTATGTTCTACAATATGGCGTGGCCAACTCTACACCCTGACGTTTACCAAGGCAAGGAGCTTGAAGGGAGGCAGAGAAGGGGCCTCCATTCTTTGGAAACAAAAGGTCCTCTGGTGCCTAAGCGCTAGCCTGGGACAGACCTTATATAGGCAGAGAAAGGATAGACATTCAGGGTTTTCTAACAGTGCCTTTTCTCTTTCTTCCTGGCCATCAACAGAAGAAGGGACCAGGACATATTTCTTTCCCTCCTGAAGTAGAAAAAGAAATATTTGTTTTAGTCTCCTTAAATAATCATGAAGGTCCTTGACTCTTGGTAAAGCTGTCCCCCAGGGGCTGGGAAAGGTCACACACCCCACCTGCAGCGCAGACAAGACTTTCTTCGAGGATCAGTGAGGCACCACCACCCAGGGAGATGGGGTGAGATCAATCCATTGTGGGAGAGAGAGAGCAGGAGAGGCTGCCCACCAGCCTACAGATACATTTCTCTCCTGGCCTTCCAAGGTACCCCTGGATACCGCTTTGCCTGATTTCCTTGCACTTCC